ACTACCACAGACCTAAGAGCCCACTATATGTTTTTATGAGGAGATTTAGGAGTCCATAAAACACCTCATGATTTATTCAAGGACACACTGGACTCATTTATGGTTGCTGTGGGAGGCATTTAAAAGCCCAGTGGACACCCGAGAGCCCATTCTTTATCTTCATGTGGATTTTCTTCCTGGCACCTTACAGTCAGTCACTCAGAGGCTGTGGGTCCACAGGCTTCTCTGTTTGGAACCTCAGAGCAACACTCAGCTGTCCACGGTGGTTTGGAGGTTCACAAAGAGTCTCATATGTCTCTCTGTGTGGACGAACAAGAATCGTCTTAGTGTCGCTGAGACCTCTTCAAAGTCCTTTCCATCTCTCAAAGCTCCGTGTCCCTTAGCGGCTGCTTGTTTGTGCTTTCTTCTAAAATATTCTTAATGCAGATTTCAAATTCAAACTGAGAATTAATCAGAAACATGAGCGCTGAGGTAATAGAAACGTGGAAAAAGTGGGAAACAAAGCTCTGGAGCAGCAGAAACCGGAAACTCGTCACCCCTCAGTCACTGCTGACCGTCCTGGACGATCTGCAGGTTTTCAGCATGACTCAGCAGTCTGGACTGTTCCCGTGAATCAGCCTGAGTCACTGCGACTCAGAAATTAGTTTTTTATTCATGGAAAGAATGAGAGAGGATCCTGTCCTGATGCTGTTATCAAAGTGGTTCTTTTCTTTTGTTTCTTGCATGCCTGAACTCTAGACGCAACAAGGAAAGTTCACGGCCGGCACCCAGACTCTTTATCAGTGATTAAATATCAGAAACAGATGAGTGAAATAAAAGTCAGAAGAATATCAAAAGATACTTTTATTTTCCCTGCAAAAGTCATATTCAGAACCTCTTTTCAGAGACCCCATGTTTGCGAGGGGGCGGCAGTGAGTTCAGGAGTCTGATGGCTTGGGGGAAAAAGCTAATCCGCAGTCTGGAGGATCTGGCCCCGATGCTGCGGTAGGGTCTGCCAGAGGGAACAGAGTCCATATGAGGGGTGTGAGGGGTCAAGCATGACGCCGGAGGCCTTACTGATGCAGCAGTTGTGGAAGATGTCCTGCAGCAGAGGGAGAGATGTTCCAGTGATCTTGGCAGCTGCTTTAACAATTTGTTGTAGTTTGCTGAGATCACAACATTGCAGTTTCTGAACCACACGGAGATGCAGCTGGTCAGAACGCTCTCCATGGTGCTCCTGTAGAACATGGTGAGGATGGGAGGAGGGTTGGCTGCTGCAGGTGTCCCAGGAAGTGGAGGTGCTGCTGGGCTTTGGATGGAGGTGGTGTTGGTGGTCCAGGTGAGGTTGTCTGAGATGTGAACTCCCACGTCGTTGCTGCTGATGAGTCCAACCATATGAAGGCTGAATTTGACTCATGTGCCTTTATTGAGTGGCATGAAGACCACCACTGGATTCAGGTGAGGATAGAGCCGACGAGTTGAATTTGTTTTTCAGTGAATGCTCACACACCCACAACCTCACCTGTCAGCCTGAGCCACACCACTGTCGCTCCCTCCCTCTCCATATAGCACTGTTGCCACATCAGGATCTGCTTCAGTTTGCTTACCAGCCCCGTCTTGGAAGTGAGGACGTCATCATCTTCTGCTCAATCGTGTCTACACCCATCTGGACCAGCGTGAGCACTGTGAGGGTCATGGTTTTTTGACTTTTCCAGTGCTTTCAACACCATCAGGCCGACCCTCCTGGGTGATAAGTCTAGACAGCGATGCAGGTGGATGCTTCTCTGGTGTCCTGGATTGTTGATTACCTGACAGGAAGACCACAATATGACGTCTCCTCACAGTGTGTGTCTGACAAGGTGATCAGCAACACAGGGGCACACAGGGACTGTCCTCTCCCCCTTCCTCTTCACCCTCTACACCACAGACTTCAGCCACTGCACAGAGACCTGCCATCTTCAGAAGTTTTCTGATGACTCTGCGGTGGTTGGATGCATCAGCAGGGATGATGAGACAGAGTACCGGGCTGTGGTCGACTCCTTTGTCACGTGGTGTGAGCAGAATCATCTGCAGCTCAACGTGGCAAAGACCAAGGAACTGATCGTGGACTTCAGGAAGACCAGGAAACACTTGACCCCTGTTTCAATCCAGGGGGTCAGTGTTGACATTGTGGAGGACTATAAATACCTTGGAGTACACATTGACAATAAACTGGACTGGGCTAAAAACACCACAGCACTTTACAGGAAGGGCCAGAGTCGTCTCTATTTTTTGAGGCGACTGAGGTCCTTCAACATCTGCCAGAAAATGCTGCAGGATTTTCTATGAGTCTGTTGTGGCCAGTGCGATCCTCTATGCTGTTGCATGCTGGGGGAGCAGGCTGAGGGTCGCAGATGCCAACAGACTCAATAAACTGATCTGTAAGGCCTGTAGTGTTGTGGGGATGGAGCTGGACTCCCTCAAGGTGGTGTCATAAAGACAATGTTGGATAACACCTCCCACCCACTCCATGACACGCTGGCTCGTTCAGCGAGAGACTCAGGTGACCAATCCGACACAGGAAACCATTCCTGCCTGACGCCATCTCCCTCTAACACAGCGCAAACACTGCAGTAGTTACACCCTTTTGCACACACTCTTTCTACTCTGCGATATTCCTGTCAGCTTTCTTGATATTTGTTTATAATCACCTCTGTTAATCCTTGATTATTTTATTGTTGAGCGATTTGTATATATTGTGCTATTACTTAAATGTCTGTGTTTCTGTTTCTGTTATTTATACTGAGCAACTGTAACCCACATCATTTCCTCAGGGATTAAATATGCTGATTCTGATTATTGATTAAAAAAACATTTGCTTTATTGGTCTCATTCATTTTGAGCGTATATTTCAAAAACACACTTTATCCTGTTCTGCCTCAGAAACCTCAGATTTTAGGCTGTTGTTTTACTTACATCACTCATGTATATCACATTCAACAGTAAAAATAAATGACTGTGACACCAGCCTGTTTCAGAGAAGCTTGTTTCATTGTAACAACTTCAATCCTTTAAAACCAGATCTGACGAGCGAGCCGAACACAAACCCTGCCTGACTGATCTGAGCATAAGTCACAAACTGAATTTCATATCGTGTTGCGTTCCCTACAGTTCCCTGTAAATTCTCTGTGGAGTGAAGAACGAACACTTCCAGGTGGGAACATTCGTGACTCAGCATATGGACACATTTACCACCTCTGTGTTCAATCAATAAAGTTTTTTTGCTGAGTCCAGGCTGTATGACACATGATCAGGATATATTTGATTACGTAAGTGTACAGCCTGCTGCTTTCTGAGATCAGCTGCATGTTTGACAGCTTTGTGTGAACATGATTGGCCTGAACTTACATTAAATGATGTGACTAACTCGGGTGTGTTTGATTTTTACATTCTTCTGTGGTCCTGAGTTAAATTAACTTTGACAGCTATTCAGTTAAAAGATTATTTAACTACTAGCGTAGGGAGTTATGTGTATATAGATACTGTTCAGTCAAAGCCATGCCGGTTGATCTTTGACCCTCTTAAAGTGATGCGGCTGGTAAATGCAGAGCAGCTGATTTGGTTTGAACTTTCACCCCGTGTTCAGTGTGGAAATCGCGCAGCACCACGACAGCCTCAGCGCGCTGCTCCGCTGGGCCGGATGTTCTCCGATGACGCAGCCGAAATGTTGAGTAATGACTGAAAAGAAACAGCTCAGGCCAGAATACAGAGGAAATGCCATGAAAATGACCCACAGGAATATGCGCTGGATCATTTTCAAGAGGCGGAATTTGTCTCTAAGGAACCAACTTGGCGATTCCACCCTCAGATGTTACAAGAAGCTGAAAACACTTCCACTGAAACTTGAATTTTATCAGTGACTGTGGGGTAACATCACTGTGGGTTTAAGCTGATCCTTCTAAGGGGATCCAGCGGCTGCCTGAGGCACGTTTCACACCGCCACATGATTCTGGGACTTACAAACAAACAAACAGGGAGGTTTGCAGAAACAAAGCAGACACTTTGAGATCAAGAGAAGCTCCAACATGTGAAGGGCTTTTATTCTGAAGGGATGAAAACACTTCTGATGTACTTTTAGTGCAAAAAAGCTTTTGAACAAAAACAATATATATAAAAATAAACTCTGAAATTAAAAATACAAAAGACAACTTTAGGGAGTGAACAGATTAAATATAGTGAATTAAATTATTGTTCATCATCAGCTGTAAATTAAAGTTATGACACATATTTATTCACATTGTCGCCTCATAAACTGGAATGTTTGAAAAACTACTTTAAATTAAAATAGTCAATAAAAACAAAAATAAATAAAAAAAACAGAAAACCTGATTGCAGACGAGCAGCGAGCCCCACGGGCAGCGTGCTGCATTCAGGTGACGTCGGTCATTATTTTAGCTTTAAAACCTGAAGTGAAGAAACTAGAACGACTGAGCAGATGTTAATGTGAAGTCCTGAGCTGCTGCAGCCTCTGCTTCAGCTCTCTGCTCCTCTTCCTCAGTTCATCTTTCTTTGCCAACAGCTTCCTCTCCTGCTCTCTGACCTCCATGATGAACTCCGCCGCCTTCTTCAGGATCACCACCTTCGCCGCTTTTTCATTGTTGGCCACCGCTGGGACCTCGTCCCTCAGAACCATGAAGCTCATCTTCAGCTCGTTTCTCCGCTGCCTCTCCAGCCACGTTGTGAGTCCTGCGCTTGTCGTTGTCCTCGCCCTCCGATTTCGGGCTCCAGCACCGGCGCCCGCCGCTCTGCCTCGGTGCCGCGCTGCTGCTCTCCGCCTTCACCCGTTTCTCAGGGGGTTGCTGGGCAGCGTAGTTGTGTTGGTGGATGTTGACGTGAGAGCGTTTGAGGACCAGAGGGGAGGTGTGGGACCGCCGAGATGACTTTCTCCTGTCCACTGTCACCACATCGATCTCTTCCTCTTCCTCATCATCATCTTCCTCTTCTGGGAAAAACAAGGAAAAACATTCTGGTGTAAATAAAAGTGATCGCGGTCTGAGCCAAAACCACCGTCCTGCTGATGGACGAGCGAGGGACAGAAAACGAGTGAAAGCAGCAGAGCGAGACAGAAAACATGCCCTCCTTGAACTCCTCGCTTCCATAGTTTCCAGACATTTACCGGCCAATGAAAACATTTCTCAGATGTCTGCTGACACTGACAGTACTGGTGGATATTTTAATCCACAGCTTAATTCAGACTAAGGTTACATTTTAATGCACTACTATCCACAGTAACTATAGCGTTAAAATAATGGTGACGTATGAGGAACAGAAAGAGCCCTGTGGTGAAGCTTTCTGAACAGCTGGTCTGATCTGGGATGACGGGCACTGTTTCACTGAGAGCCCCCACATCATTTGACTGTCCTCTGCACTTCCTGTGATGTAAAAGTACTGACTGCAAGAAGAAAACTAGCTACTGATTTTAAGGAGTTCACTTCAGTCAGCTGATTGGACCCCAACGCACCTGAGCCGGGCTGTTTCAATAGATGCAGTATTATGAGATACTCTGAAAATCACTGGGTTACTACATTTCCCAAAATGCAAGTGGATCCTACCTGATGCTTCTTTGTTTCTAACCACTGGTCTCAGAGGGTAAATGAGAAGTGAAGGAAAGGTCGGAGAAAATCAGAGTTCAGTGACTCTGATACTCAGGATTAAAGAGCTGGCTTTTCAAAATAAAACTCACCTGATTCACTGTCACTGCTGCTGGGTGGTGGCGAGTCCAGTCTCAGCTCAGACCCCACCTCCATCGCCACACCATCATCCATCTGCTTCTCACCCAGGAACACCACAGAGGGGTCAATGCAGTCTGTCACCGAGGTGTGGAAGTCCTGCAGGTACCCAGCGCTCACTTGAGACCCGCCCACCTGCTCGTCAGCTGTTCTGTCTGTGATGGTCTTAGTGTTGCAGGAGTCCCGGCGGGCCCGCAGCGAGGCCAGCCTCTCTGACACCACCTTCTCCAGCTCTGTGGCGGCGGCGAAGCTGCTGCTCCACATGCAATCCTGGATGATGAAGGATTGCAGAAATGCTGCAGAGGAGCTGTGGTCATCGTCCAAGAGGTCAGACACCGCCTCCAAGTGGTCGGCGGCAGACAGGGAGGGTCTCCGGCTGGGGGACAAGGGAGGTGTAGGCAGCAGCTCGAACTTCTTCCAGATGTCTTCGCTGGGAGCCGGCAGGAGCTGGCTGCGTGGAGGAGGGTAGAAGTCTTCCTCTTCACCATTCAGGAAGAAGTAGGGCTGGACCACGTCGTAGTCATAATCGTAGTTTGTGCTGTTCAACACCGGCGGCATGACGGCGGCCTGAGAAACACAACAGGAGGTCAGCCTGAGCCAAGCACACGACCACAACATCAAAAACCATCTGATATTACAACAGTGCAGGAGAATCAGTTAAGCATGCCAGACTCCATTCAAAAAACAACTAGTTTAGCTTTCTTTGGATTAAAGCCCGAGTTTACATAATAGAAAGCAAAGATCCTTCATCAGTAAACAGCACTACACACATCTGCAGTGCAGACACGCTCACTCAAATGTATTAAAACTCGGGATTTAACATGCGTAACAGTTTTAAAAGTAGTAATTTTATCAAAAAATAAGAACAGAATATGCGGTTAGAAGACATAAGTAAAGGTTGCAGAGCAGAGTTAAACACAGAGCTTCAGTATGAGTAAAGTCTCCAGACAGGCGAGAACTTCTGCAGATATGCGAAACTCAGCTGTCAAAATGCGCGACGCTAGTTTAATAACATTGAACCATTTATTCAGAGTCACGCATCAAAGGAAAAACGGTCAAAATGCGAAGAACGAACATCAGCGATAAATTCGGCACACATTTTAAACTGACTAAGCGAAAAGTTAAACGACAGCAAAGAAAAGCATCCAGAAAGCTTCAGACATAAACTTACCGTTTTTCTCCAACAGTTAAGGTGAAAACGTGAAAAAGGTCCAAATGTTCAAGCGAGTAACGAGTAAACTTATAGCGGGCTTTGTCCAGCAGAGCCTGTCAGTCTTAAATAATCCTCAGTTTCTCGATAACAGACGCTATAACGGTCCCTCAGTGTCGCCCAGCTGCTCTGCCGTCTCAGCGTGAAACTCAGCCATCAGCTGCTTCACACACATTAAATACTCCGGCTTTTTTATCTTCATCCGCCGGCACTACAATCTTCCCGCCAAATGCGAACTACGTAGTAAACAAACGGGACCTATCGATGTGCTGCTGACCCTTTAGAAAATAACCTTTAGTGCATTTCTGCCATAAAAGCTTGATTGTAGTATTAGTTTTACTTTAAATTCAGCAAGAAGATGTGCAAAATATGGGAACTATTTTACTCAGCGGACGTGTACTTTTTGTGAATGGTAAGAGGGTGGTCGTGACTGTAAATGATGTAAAGGAACAAAGTTCCGGGAAACCCGCTCTTATCCCGTGATGAAGTCATGAAAACAAACAAGCAAAACAATGTTTATCGAAAGAAAACCTGGATTGAATAAACAAACAAACAACAGAACGAAGAAAAGGATCACGAGCTACGAATGCAAAAGCAGTAATCTGCTAATAGAAAATGTATTAAATGAATCAAGTTTGATAAAATAAAACCAATTACAATATCATTAAAAAATAAAATAAAAATTTAAAGGAAAACTAACCTAAGAGAAAGAATTTTAAACAAAAGCAAAACATATTTAAACAATTATTTTGGATATATTATAAACAAAGCCACTAAAAGGAGAAACAAGAATTTAGCACAGCAAATATACTGTTATTATATTTATTTATTTTACTTTGATGTGATTTTTTATTTTCTCTGTTTTGATGTCATCTGAATTAATTCTGGGAAAGACAACATCAAAATAACATCTATGAAACGGAAATATAAAGAACAGATTATGGGCTCCATGGTCAAGACCTATGAAGAAACTATTTATTTATTTATTTTTAAATTCACAAAATGAAAGAATAGGCTTCAACCATCTCCAGGTCTCATTTCCCGGGTGTACATCCTTTATTTCTCTCCTCATATCTTAGACCCTCCCATCAAAAACGAGGTGAAAGAAGCAGAAACACAGAGAAACGGAGGCAACAGGCGTGCCAGATGTTTAGCTGTTAAAGATGTCACGAGGAACAGCTGCATCGGCTGTTTATTGCTTCATTACAGCCTGTTGCTGTATTTGAGGTCCTCAGAGGTACATTTAAACCAGCTTTTTGAAGCAGACTTCAGTGGACGTGTCAGGGAAGGGGACACAGGTGAAAAGCTTGTTGGTGAACCTGTACTTCAAGAGGAGGGAGGAACACTGGATGATGGCCAAGAGTGTTCGATTTAACGAGAATGCAGCTAGAGGGCATCAGATGGAAGTCTGTGGGAGGAAGTGAGTGAATGCAGAGCCAAGAATGCCGCACAGAGTTTGGGAGGAGCTGAGACAGGCTCTGGGTGGTGGGAAGGACTTAGCAGATGACTGGAAGTGCTGAGGAAACGGCCAAGAAAGTGTTTGGTGTATCGAGAAATACAAGGAGACTTGGTGGTGGAATGAGGCAGTGCAGGAAGGTATTTGGGTCAGCAAAAAAAGTGGGATATTCAGGAAGCTGAAGAAAGTGGAAGTACTGGGAGCTTAAGCGTACGGCAAAGAGGTGACAAAGCAAAAAGCCCAGTAAGCTGTATTTCAGGCTGATAGCAAAGGAGGAGAAAATGACTTGTAATGATCGACTAAGCAGGAAAGGACAGAAGTGATTAAGGATGGAGATGATAATGTGCTAACAAGTGAAAGGAGTGTGAAGATGGAAGGAGTACTCTGGGGATGTGATGAATGTAGAAATGAGAGGATGACAGTTAGAAAATCAGGAAGCGCAGAGGATGGAGTGAGAGGTGGGGAAAAGCCACTGGCCCAGAAGACCTACCTGTGGAGGTGTTTTGGAGGGTGGTGAGCTTTTTAACAGCATCTTAGAGAAGACCCAGAATAAAAACAGCAAACCTGTTTATTAAGGCTGTTTACTAAATCCATGACACACAAAGACCACAGAAGAGGCTCACAGACACGCCAAGAAACAAAGTGGAGGCAGCACCATAAATAAAGCACGGTCTAATTAAGGGAAGTGGACACAGCTGAGGAAAACACACAGGTGCAGATACTCTGGCATACTCCGAGGACTTCAAAGTGCTACAGAAACACTCACTGTGCACCGGATATCACTATAAAATACACAACCCACCGCATGCAACACTATTTCATGATTTGAGCCAACCTTTGTTTAACAGCAGCTCCTCCTGCCTTTCTACTCTGCTGCCCCCTGCTGGTCAAAACCTCACACTGCCTCAAACTGCAGGATTCTTGTTTATCTTTGCATTTTCCACGTCTAGTTTTTTGTTAGATTTAATTTATTATTCTTTATAATTCTGCCTGCTTTTTATAATACAGTCAATATAACATGAATAACATTTACCTTTAATAAAATATCATCTATATAAATGTTGCTGCTAAAGATAAAACCTTAAGGTTGCTGCCCTCTTGTGGCTGTAACAACACACTGCATTACCAACCATAACCATAAATTCTTATTGTTGTCTGTGGATGGAGGGATGGAGGTAAGTGGATAGAGTATGTGCCATTTTAATAGAAGTTATATTAATTTTCCTAAATTTAATTTCATAAAGTTAAAAAATGTAACATAACAAAGCAGAAGATTTATCTGAAATATTCAAACTACACATTTATTTAAACCAAACAAGTGTTTAAGATTTGTGTTCCCAGTGTTTGTAATCAGATGTAATCTGGGCTTTCTGACGTACATAACTGACTTCCAGCAAGGCTGCATGAATATGGCATTAGACAAAACACAACATGAACCCAGGAAAGACTCCAGCTGGAGGAACAGGCCAGTTAATGTTAGAGTTTTCCACATATAACCAAGGACAGCTTCAAAAACATCCGACTAACTGGAATTTCTAACTTAAAGACCTGAATAGAAGAGCCGATGATAGGCGAGCCTTACATTTTAAAAGATGAGCATGTTTTCATAAATAACAACCTTAATCAAGGATTAAGATACTTTTTCATTCAGTGATACAGTGTCAGGCTGTATCACACTCAAAGGTATACGTCACACCGCTGCACCAGTTTGACTCACAGAATCCATGGCAACAAAGTACTTCCTGTTTACTATAAATCTGACAACTTCTCACGCAAATAAAAACGTCTGCCTCGGTTTGAAAGAGAGAAGCAAAGAGATGGAGCGCCATCCTGTGGTGAATCACTGGAAGTACAAAAAGAGAATTGTGGAAGACAGGAGGAAGCTGCGTGTGGAAGTAACAAAAAGCTGCAGTGGTGTTAGCAACATGTTTAAATTAACAAAACAATTTAACACGTTTGGAAGAAAGGTGATAATTTAGAAAGAAAATAAAAAAGTCAAAATAAAGAAATTATAATGTGAGACCGAGAAAGATTTTAAACACACTGAGTGAAGAATCTCAAAAACTGTCTTAATGATTCACTGACTTACTCAGAAGGTTAAAATCATTCATTCAGCGACCTGGATGCAGATGGAAAAACTGAACCGATAACATTAATGTATTAAAACATTACAGTTACTTTTAACAAACAGTCCTACTTGAACTGTTTTTAATTATTGTGGTAACTGATAACTGAACTTGCAGAGGCAGTAGGAGTGTGTTGGAGTGCACACAAGATAGCCTCAAAAGCATCGCCCGGGACTTCCCACCTGTGAAGTCAGCTGCAGACACATTTGTGAAACAGACAAATCGGAAACTAGAGGAGAGGTGAGAACAACACAGACATGGAAGTGGAGGCTGAACTACCTGAAAAGAGAGCCAAAAGAGAAAAGGCCGGAGAGATGCCTGAAGATGAGTTGCAAATCAATGTCTGAGAAATGAGGTGAAAGTGCACAACATCATCCTGGAACAGTTATTAAGAACACAGACGATGCACATGCACTTCTTGCCGATTTGGCATGGTTGGACCCCAGGAAGTTTAGCCAGGTCAGAACAGTTTCTCTTCCAAGTAATGCATTTCAGAACCTCAGCGCCTGTCTACTTAAATTTGACAGCAGGGCTACAGTTAATAACCTTCAGTCAGAACTGAAACGTTTTGCTGAACAGTGGGAAAGGCTTAAGACATCACATGTAGATGAGTACACGACCAGAACAGCAAAGGACAGATCTGAAGAATGGGACGAAGAAAGTGAAATTGTGACCGAAAGCTGTGGTTCTTGCAAAAATTGCCCACTGTGCTGCTATCAAATACTCAGGCTACATGCTGTCTGATGCCTATCGTCTCCTGTGGGCTGGCATCACAAGTACCTGCTGACCCTCTCCCTCACTCAGGTTGCCTGTGAAAGAACATTCTCTGCACTCAAGTTCATTAAAAGCAGATCTCAGCAGCTGTCTGCCAACAGCTGGAGATCTTGGATGGCAACTACACTGCAATCATCGAGTCCATCCTCACCTCCTCCATCACCGTGTGGTACGCTGGAGCCACTATCAGGGACAAACAGAGACTGCAGCGTGTTGTGCGCTCTGCTGAGAAGGTGATTGGCTGCAGACTCCCATCTCTGCAGGACCTGTACACCTCCAGGACACTGCGGCGTGCAGCTCGGATCTCAGCTGACCCTTCTCACCCTGGACACAGTCTGTTTGACCTGCTCCCCTCAGGCAGGAGGCTCCGGTCCATTCGCACCAGAACCTCTCGCCATAAGAACAGTTTCTTCCCCTCTGCTGTTGGACACATGAACAATAACCATATGACTGTTCCCACCACTAACACATGACCCTACGCTGTGTTCACTGCATCATTCCATGTTTGGCACTGATCACCACCTGCACTCATGTATATATCTTTCACGTAGCACTTTTAATTCTTATCCCTACTTTTATTTTTTCCATGTCTATTTAAGTGTTATTTATGACACCATGTTTGCACTGAAGCACCGCAGCAATTTCCTAATGTTGTAAACCTGCCAACATTTGGCAATAAACCCCATTCTGATTCTGATTCTGATTCTGATTCTGAAAAGGACATTCTCATGTCATTGGACTCTGACATGGTCATTGACAGGGTAGCTGAGAAGAGTGACCTGCTGAGAAAGCTCCTTTTGTAACCTGGTGAGGTGAAATAAAAATGAGCAAAACATTCCTAATTATCTATTGTTAATATTAAATTCAGCTTTATTGTTATTGCCTAAATGAATACGTTTAGTATCTACCTTCACTTCAAACAAGTCAAGTGATTGGTAAATGCTTAGAATTTGTCCATCTTAATAGATAGAATAAATATGAGATTGGAGTATTAGGCATTTATAAACATATATTCTTACAGTCTTAATCTGTCATTGTTTCATTTCAGATGCTGTCAGTCATTTTAGGAGGACTGAAGTGTGTTCATTTTAAGTAAGTACTATATGGAATATGATTCAACCATTTTTCTAGAGTAAGCATACCAGTACTGTCATCGTCTGAAAAAATCTATTAAGTACAATTCTTTCTCAACCTTCACTGTCTGTCCTTTCACTTCTTAAAGGTTTCCATGTCTTAAGATATGTTCAGTGTTGCTGCTGTGGAAGTGTTGTAGGTGACCTTTTATTGATGAGTGAATAGTCTTTGGTGATACAATTCAATCATAATCTGTCCTTTATAGATTTTAATATTCATCTAATCTTTATTCCTTTCTGTCCTGTTTGTCAGGGTCTGATCATACATTGTTTGTTTAAGAGGTTCGAGACCATTCAACTTTTTAAGTTCATCAACGTAAGTTGTTATGACCAACCATCCTATAGTATTTTATTTTATTTTTTCACGTGTTGACTTGTAAAAGCCTGTATGACAATTTTTTTTGCCATTCATTAACCCCACAGAGAAGGCATCATTTAAATATGTTAACGTTTTCTTTAAGCAAGCAGTATTAAAGTTTTTTGTGACCTGGCCCAGTGTCCTCATTTTTGGAAATGAAAATATGGTCACCCTAACGTAAATACTGCTGTATGTGATTCAGCTATATTTGTGGAATAAAGATAACGGTACTGTGATCACCCGAGCAAGTCCATAAAGTGCCATTCTTTGTCACCCTTCTCTGTCCTTTCACTTTCTTTTACCTGTACTGTGTGTACACTGCCATCAAAATCAATTAAATGTTATTTTTTCTCACCTTTCTTTCTCTGTCTCCTTTCACTTTTTAAAGGTTGGTTTAAAAAATTGTGCTGCTATGTTGTTTATTGATGTGGTAAAAAAACTTTATGAAAATATACTAAATCTGTCATTTATTGATTTTAATATTCAGATAATGACCATGTCTCACCTCTAGTCGTCTCTGTCTTAATTTCCACCATGTGTTGTAGATAGTTCAGGAGGTTAACTCGACCAAGCAGTCTTACTTTTCGCTAAGTACTGTTTAGAATACCAGAATAGGGAGGATGTGTAGGTTTAAGTTTTTAGATTGATACATATACACCAACAAGCTAGCTACATCACTGTCACAACAGCGTTTGTTTTCATTCAAAGTGCTTTATGATTCTCCTAGATACCATGGTGGGCGGTCTCTAGTCAAAATGCTCCGGGCGCATTTTTTGTCCCAGTCCAGACGCCTCTGAGAGTGTTATGGAAATATATAAAACTATATATGTGGAACTTGCTTCAAACCAGAGAGGCACAGGTACCAATGCAGCAAATGTGTTTTCAAAAATGTCTTCAAAGAAAAAAGAACTGATGACAATTAAAAAAAAACAAAAAACACTGGAGGAAAAGTGACGTGTTTGGAAATTCCCTGCTGTTGTTGAACGCATCAGTAGTGTACCTCAGGTGTGTTATTTGCGTGTCCTGCGAGAACAGAAAGGTGAGTCATTAACCAGCAGAGCTAAATGAGCTTTCTAAGCTCAGAGTTAGCATCAGAGGGCTAGCACGTGTTTTTGGCTAGCTTGGCTCGTTAACATGGTGGCTAACCATGACTAGCTTAAGTAGCTGCTAACATCCAACAACGTGACTGTCAAAGAGACTTTGATGTTTGCACTGTACCGATGTAGTGGAAATTCTAAAAAGAG